TTTTCCCTATATGTATCTTTGGGCATACATGACATTTCCATATTAGTTATATATTACATATTAGTTATAATATATAAATAAATGTTAAGATGTTCTAATGTAAATGTTCAGATGTTAAACCATTCTCTTTGTTGTCTTAATGCTTTGGCAATACAAAATGTATTTTTGTCATGCCAATAAAGCTATTTGAATTGAATTGAATTGAGAGAGCCTGTGTCTGTGTGTATGAGAGAGAGAGAGCGAGCGTGTAGATGAGTTCATGTGAGAGTCAGGCACATCCTCCAGAACCATCAGTGTAGAGCTTTGGGTTTGAGTCTCAATAAGGATTGTAAGAGCTGAAATCAGCCAACACTCACCCTGAGGAAAACTATCGAATATCTGACAAATCCTGAAAATGTAAGCAGCTGCAGGTTAGTGTGAGAGGCACTGTCATCAGCTCAGTGTGAACACAGCAGCAGTCACTGAAGAGTTCAGCCGTGTCTCTGATTCACAGACGGATGAGGAGAAGCAGCAGGGTCTGCCGGTGGTGATGCCCGTGTTTGATCGCAACACCTGCAGCATTCCCAAATCCCAGATCTCCTTCATCGACTTGCTAGTAACTTGATACTCAGGCTAACACCATGCTAGTAACATGCTAATCATGCTAAAATGCTAGCAAAATGCTAGTAATTTGTTAATAATGCTAAATCATGCTGGAAAAATGCTAATCATGCTAGATACATGCTAGTAACTTGATACTCATGCTAACACCATGCTAGTAACATGCTAATCATGCTAACAACATGTTATTAACTTGTTAATCATGCTAGAATCATGTTAGCAACATGCTGTTAACATGCTAATCATGTTAGTAATTTGCTAATCATGCTAGCAACATGCTATTAACATGCTAATCATGCTAGAATAATGCTAACACCATGCTAGTAATATGTTAACCATGATAGTAACATGCTAGTAACTTGCTAATCATGTTATAAACATGCTAGCAACATGCTAATCATGCTAGAATCATGCTAGTAACATGCTAATCATACTAGTATCATGCTAGCAACATGCTAGTGACTTGCTAATCATGTTAACTACTAATGCTAACACCATGCTAGTAACATGTTAATCATGCTAACAACATGCTATTAACTTGCTAATCATGTTAACAACATGTTACTATCTTGCTAATCATGCTATAATCATGCTACAACATGCTAGTAACTTTGTTAAACATGTTAGAAACATGCTAGCATTATGCTAGTAACATGCTAACATTATGCTAGTAACATGCTAATCATGCTAAAATCATGCTAGTAACATGCTAATCATGCTAGAATCATGTTAGCAACATGCTAGTAACTTGCTAATCATGTTGACAACATGCTAGTAACATGCTAACCATGTTAGAAACATGCTAGTAACTTGCTAGTCATGCTAACTAAATGGTAACACCATGCTAGTAACTAATCATGTTAACATGCTAGTAACATGCTAATCATGTTAGAAACATGCTAGTAACGTTGTTAAAAGACCAACCAAGCTTAACCCAGATATTTTCAACTTAAACCAGCTACGACTAGACAACCAGCCTAAGCTGGTTTTAGCTGGTTTTTTTCTGAATCAACTGGTTTTAGCAGGTTTTAACTGTATTAACATAGAAACATGCAAACAACATGCTAGTAACTTGCTAATCATACTAACAACATGTTAGTAACATGCTAATCATGTTAGACACAAGCTAGCAAACATGCTAGTAACATGCTAATCATGCTAGCAACATGCAAAATCAACTGGTTTTATCAGGTTTGCTAGCAAAATGCTAGTAACATGCTAATTGTGCTAGCAACATGCTAATCATGCTAGCAACATGCTAGTAACATGCGAATCATGTTAAAAACATGTTAGCTAGTAACTTGCTAATCATGTTGACAACATGCTAGTAACTTGCTAATCATGTTAACAACATGCTAGTAACTTGCTACTCATGCTAACAAAATGGCAACACCATGCTAGTAACATGCTAATCATGTTAACAAAATGTTAGTAACATGCTAGTAACTTGCTACTCATGCTAACAAAATGGTAACACCATGCTAGTAACATGCTAATAATGTTAGAAACATGCTAGTAACTTGCTAACCATGCTAACAAAATGCTAAAACCATGCTAGTAAAATGCTAATCATGTTAGAAACTTGCTAATTATGCTAACAACATGCTAATGATGCTAGAAACATGCTAGTAACTTGTTAATCATGCTAACAACATGTTAACCATGTTAGAAACATGCTAGTAACATGCTAATCATGCTATCAACATGTTAGTAACATGCTAATTGTGCTAGCAACATGCTAATCATGCTAAAAACATGTTAGCAACATGCCAGTCATGCAAGAAACAGCCTAGCAACCCCCACAGGTACCCTACCAATATGTTTTATATCTATTCTTCTGATAGACTGTATTGCCTTGAAAACATTCAAACTTTAATCTGTAAAACTAATTTAACTTTCAAACTACTTCAAACTGAAAACTTTCAGACTGCAATCTTTTAAAATACTTCAAACTTAATGGCTAGGCTTTTTCGAGCCAACTTAAAGTTTGTCTACAAACTTTACTGATCTAGTTTCATCTAGATTTATACTGTTTTACTGTCAGATTTGTTTTGAGCTGAAGTGATGCTCCTCTGATTTAACAAACCCTCCTATCTAAATCATTTCAGATCAAATACATGAACACCGAGATGTACTGAATGTCATCAAAATGACATGCTAATCATGCTAAAAACATGTTAGCAACATGCCAGTCATGCAAGAAACAGCCTAGCAACCCCCACAGATACCCTACCAATATGTTTTATATCTGTTTTTCTGATAGACTGTATTGCCTTGAAAACATTCAAACTTTAATCTGTAAAACTAATTTAACTTTCAAACTACTTCAAACTGAAAACTTTCAGACTGCAATCTTTTAAAATACTTCAAACTTAATGGCTAGGCTTTTTCGAGCCAACTTAAAGTTTGTCTACAAACTTTACTGATCTAGTTTCATCTAGATTTATACTGTTTTACTGTCAGATTTGTTTTGAGCTGAAGTGATGCTCCTCTGATTTAACAAACCCTCCTATCTAAATCATTTCAGATCAAATACATGAACACCGAGATGTACTGAATGTCATCAAAATGATGGGCAAGTTGACAATAATAATAATAATTATTATTTCTAAAGTGCCTTCTCTGTGTTTCTAGCGTTTGCTGATCTGCCCAATCTAATGCAGCATCTGGACAACAACTTCAAATACTACACACACACACACACTCACACACACACACACACACTCACACACTCACTCACACACACACACACACACATACATGAGCGGAGCTAACGTGATCGATGGACGCGTCTCCTCCGGTGAAGAAACACTAGCGATCGGCTCGACTGCGGCAGAAACACGCATCTGTGGAGCGCTATTTATTTTGGTCCAGGTCCTTTTTTTTTTTACAATTAACTAATGATGAGAATCATGTTAGCTAATAAAAACCCTCAGACCCATGAGAGATGATCTAAACGCCAAAGGTGATTAGCACGGATGATGTTAGTGTGTTTAATATCTGCAGACTCTGACAGAACGTCACGTTGTTATTTTCGTGCGTGGTCGCGAGCAGACGTTACGCCGCATCTGTGAAGACTTCGGGCCTTGAACGATTTTCCTCCAGAGATTCCTCTCTGTGGTCGATCTACTGACGAGACTGCTGCCTTATTTTATACGCTCTATTTATACGGCTCACAGCGACCCGCGACGGACTTCTGCAGTTTTTAACACGCTCGCGTTGTATGAAGTAAATCTCAATATTTTTGTAGCTGATCAATTTTACACTGGAACGATGTAAAGCATCTCGGACTCCGCGGAGAGGGATGATCACTCATTCTTCATGTTGTTTTGATGTCCGTTTGTCTGCGTGTCTCCGTCTGAAGAAGAAAGGCGTTCTGACACGTCCAGCGGATTCTCCGTCTCCATCAGGGTTTGTTTACTGGATTCAGTCTGTGTTTCTGGGCTCAGACGGACGCTGCTGCGGCTCACAGTGATTTACTCCATCATGAAGCTGAAGCGCTAGATCCTACAGCATCCCACCAGCACTGCTGATGTGACCATCTTCCTCTGAATCCACGAGCAGACGCAGGCGAGAGCGCTCTTCTTCAGCGCTCGGCTCCCAAATTAAAAGAAAAATGAGATTATATTTTGTATTTAGGATCATTATGATTTTTAGCATTGTGACATTATTTTCATGATGAATTACCTCTTCTTCAAATTCCTCTTTAAATTCTCATCTGTAATGTCAAAAGGAGTTATTTAAATTGTAAAGTATTTCTACATCATTGTAGTATTTGTTGTACTGCCCTTTTTGTTTTAATAAAAAAGCTATTTTTTATTGTAAAGCAGAACTGCAATAAAAAATGAAACTACAATAATGAAACTAACGTCCAGGTGAGACTCCGGTGACAATTTGTGCTTGATTGTCAGAAAATAATGCAGAAATCCAGGAAACACTTCATACTTCAGTGTTTGGTTCTCGTTAGATTTGTAGAACTTCTGGATTTGAGTGTGTGATGGTTTGGTTTGTGGTTGTGAATCAGCAGCTCATGAAGTTCAGGACTGCTGCTGCTTCTGTGGTTCCTTGCACCATTTTATGTTCATCAAACCTATCAAGAGGTGTTTTGGGTCCTGGTGTTGGTTATATGTTTCATTATCAATGAATAATCTTACAGTTCATAATCAGTTCTTCAGATCAGTATTTGGGTTTTTGAGCTCCAGTGTGAAGATGCGTTTCTAGAGAAATCGAGTTCTTATTGAAACTGAAAAAGGTTGATCCGAGGCTTCAGGCTGCAGAAGCGTCTCTGGTTCTGTTTGATGAGCAGTGATTCTCCTGCAAACACATCCTGAGAATGACAAGTCCGTTTTATTTGTTTCCAGCCTTACACAATACATAATATTTAAGACATTTGCACAGAAAACAGCTTTGAAGGAGTCATGAACTGAGAAATCAAAATTCCCTTGATCTTTTGACATACAAGAGGTCACTGTACTATAAAAACATCCTGTAAGTTTCAGAACTCAACTTTCTCGTTAGTCTAAAAACAGCTTATATTGAAGCCAGTCTGCCAAAACGGCAGCTTGTGCAATGCGCCACTTTAGGATGTGATAGTGTAGATTAACCCCGCCTCCACAGAAGAAGATCAATGCCTGCTTCTACACCACTGCCTGTTTAGCTCCGCCCACCGATTCTACACCACTGCCTGTTTAGCTCCGCCCACCGATTCGACTGCACTGCCTGTTTAGCTCCGCCCACCGATTCTACACCACTGCCTGTTTAGCTCCGCCCACCGATTCACGCGTATAGTGTAAATAAGGAGAGAGGCAAACGCAGGTCTACACAGAAATCAAACGATAAAGATGCTCCGAAGACAACACAACACAGTCTTTGCATCGCCTTCCTTCTGATCCCAACATTAGGAAAGAGATGAACTTTATTTTTAATAAAGATCCAGACTTCATCAGTAAGAACTTGGTCATTGGTTCACTTAATTTCACAGCGGATTCGTTGACAAATAAAGCACAATTCAACAGGATTTTTAGAAAGATTGAAACTAAAAGACGATGCTGTGTGACTATATTGGATCTGACAGTAATTATTGCTCACTATTGCTGTGTCTGTTATTACAGATTGTTTGATATGTACGGAGTATTTATGGGTTTTTAACCTAAATCACACACAACAGAAAATAGACTATTACTTCTACATTGTGATGTTTTTGATGTAAAAATCCAAATCTGGATAACATTATAAGTGAACCTCAGAGTCGAGTCACCTTTATTTGTTTAGCGCTTAATACAATGCAGATTGTGTCAAAGCAGCTTTACAGTGGCAAACAGGAAAATAGTGTGTCAATAATGGAAGAGAACAGTACAAAATAATAAAAAGGCAGTTCATGACCCCTTTAATAGCACTATAGTGTAGTTGTAGTAATGTAAAGTGCAGTGAGATATTCAGTACCTTTAAACTTTTCTTTTGAACTCAGTACACTGGTGGGTGTTTGAGTGTAACAACATTAATAATTTAATGTGATGGAAATTATGATGATACTTTATTGTCCCTTTCGAGGGAAATTAGTTTTTGGCAATACATGTGAAGCTGCATCAGAAGATAGTCACAAGCACTGCATGAGCTGAGGATCCAGCCGTTCATCAGCAACAGATCCATGTCGAAGCTCTTAAAGGTGCCTGACGTTCTCCTGCATGCTTCCATATTGTTTAGATTTAAAATGCAGAGTTTAAGCTGACCTCTGACCTTTGACCTTGAGGCTTGTGGAGCTAAATTTCCCTCAGTCGTGGCATGTTGACTTTAAAACTGAATAAAGATCAAATAAAAACATTAAAGGTAAAACCTTTAAGGTGTCAGATTTAATTCAGAAAATTTTAGCTTAATGTAAATACAGCTTACTGTGAGTCGTTTATGTAAACGCGAATGCCTTTCCAGAAATATTCAGCACAGCGTTCCGCTCGGCGCAGTTCCGCCTGTGGCCTGGAGGCGGCGCCAGAGGAGGCGGAGCTCCGCTGAACACAAGCGTCAGAAGAAGAAGAAGGAGTCACGTGACTTCCGCTCGAGGCCTCACACTGCGTGTGTTTGTGAGTAGAAGTCCAAACTTTGGGCTTAAAGCTGCACATCGGTGTCGGTTCGGTGTCCCGCGATGGCGTCTGGATCACCGTGAGTGTTTGTTCAGATTCTCCGCTCAGAGGAGAAACTTCAGCCGTTTGATTCTCTTCATTCTTCTGTGTTCATCTTCACACTGTAAAACTCCGAATAAGCGCTCGGTTCTTCACACAAACGTTCATGCGCGTCTGAGTCTCAGTAATAAACGGGAAAATAAGAATCCGTGATGGAAACTCGACTAGACGGATCAGATTCAGCTGTAAATCGGCTCTCAAAGACAGTCTTTATGGCATTCGT